CTCTATTTCCTCTTTCTTCTTCCTCTCAGAGCATCTTCATTGGAATTGCAATTAGAATTGCATTATGACATGGCATTCATTTGCAATTGAATTATGCAATTGCATTGATGTAGATGACAATTGCATCTTTGCAAGCTTGCATATTATGCAATTGCATTGATGTAGATGACAATTCGGCTAATGACAGAGATGGAGTTCCTTGAGCTACTTTCTTTAGCATTGCAGTATGGCTCCTTTGGAAGAACAGATCAACAGCTTCGTTCCATGGAAGTTGTGCAGCTCTCACGCCTCCTTCGCTTGCTCACTCCATAATGACTAAGGCAAAGATGTGGTACGAAGCCTGGAATGCAGCTGCAGCTCTACCGGGTACGAGAAACCACCCTCCGAACCGAGTTCTAGCCGAGGTGAGCTGGAAGGCTCCTCAGTTTGGATGGGTGGCTTTAAATATTGATGGCGCCTCCAATGGAAACCCGGGACATTCAGGAGCTGGTGGTCTACTGCGAGACTCCTCTGGACATTGGTTGGGTGGTTTTGTGGCTAACATTGGGCACGCAACGGCTGCGCTAGCGGAGCTTTGGGCATTCTTTCATGGACTGGAAGGGAATTCGCATGATTCTGGCGGCGATTCTGGCGGCGATTCGCAGGAAGCTTAGTCAAGACTGGTTGGTTAGCATCACTCATACATACCGGGAAGGGAATAGAGCTGCGGACTGGCTCTCGAAGCACAGTCTCATCTATCCCTATGGCATGTATGAGCTTGCACACCCACCATCCGGGCTAGCTTCGATTATGAGAGATAATATGATGGCTGTTAGCTTTGAACGTCGTATTGTTTCTCATTCTCCTCCCCTCACTTAATCGACCTGTAACTTCTTTTTCTTGGCCTTCGGCCTCCATTTAAGCAATATATATATATATATATGGGGAGTTCTACGGTACCCAGGGTGAAATCTGGGGTACCGCATACCAGGAGTAAGAAAACGCTATCCAGAACTTCAATTTATTGATCTTTCGGACATGATACTATACTCTAACCCTTAAAGATCAAAATCTAGGTCTTAATTCTCTTAACCTTATACCCAAGATAAATTTAATTAGAAACAATAATCGACGGTTATGATTAGTTCAAATATAAGCAAAAAATCAATGCACCATCTTAGGGTTTATAGTTTATGATTTAGATAATTAGGACCTAGGGTTCACTCATTAAGGGTTAGGGTATAGTATCATGTCCAAAAATCCTGCTAATTCGAGGTCTAGATAGCGTTTGCGTACTTAAGGTATGCGGTACCCCCGATTTCACCCGGGGTACCGTAGAAGGCACCATATATATATATATATATATATATATATATAATTATGGAATGCAAGCTACATCATCTTTTTTATTATTAAATTATTCATTAATTTTATTATTTGAGTGTTTATGTTTTAATAAATTAAATCAAAAAAGTTAGTTGCAATTGCAAGTTAATTGCATTGATGTGGTGCAATGCAAGTAAGATGAGTTGGATTGCAAAAAAATAAAGTAACAATAAAAAAAACAAATGCAATTGCAAATACCATTGCACCAATGAAGATGCTCTCATATCTCCTCCGTTGCCGTCAAATTTCCCGATTAAAATTGCACTCATCATTTTATCTTCATTTTCCCTTTGCCCTCTGCCGATCTTGATCTCTCCGGCGTTGCTCATCATCCGATGGACGTGTAGTTAGTCTCCCGGATCACATGGCTATCGGTTGTTTCTTCTCTAATCTGTTTCGGCTTCCTTCTCTGGCGGTTAACTTGGGTTTGTAAGAAGGACAATTTTTCTTTCGGTATTCAATTGGGTTTCACCCATTTGCATATGCTTTTGCATGGCTCTTCTCGTATGTGCTGCTACTATTGTTTTTTCCTTTCATGTATGTTTCTGCAGAACTAATTTGTTTAGTGCTTTGATCGTCAATGGTCTCGATTTCTTTGTCCTTCGTTCTTATTTTCTGTGTTCCTCTTCTGATTTCATATATTTATTGCAGATCTGTTTTATCCTTTCCACGAATGTATTATATTGTACTGTTATTTTTTTATGTGTGTAGTGGTTTGATCATGTTGATTTTGTATGTTCGTAGTAGTGATATTGTATGTACGTAGTGGTTTGATCATAGTGATTTTGTATCTACGTAGTAGTATTTTTGCTGCGAAGTAGCGTAGTAGTTTTCTACTTTTCTTGCTATGTAGTAGTTTTTTTTTGTTGCGAAGTAGTGGTTCAACTATCTCCTGCTGTGGACAGCAAAATTGTTTCACGACATGGATGGTGAAGATGCTAGCCAATGCAAACTTAATTCTTCGGTTCATTGCTAAGCCACAAACTCTTCCTCGCAATCCACAAGCTTAGCCACAACCACACCGGAGTGGCCTGAAATCTTTGCCAAAGTAGTATTAGTATTAAGTTTTTGTAGTGGGTTTTTATGCACAGCAGTTATGGCTCATTTTCAATTCGAATTGTAGTATTTTTAGTTCTGTGGTATTTAGAAAGGAGAGTAATAGTATTTTGTATTCATGCCTTTTGGATGTAGTAGTTTTACCTTTCAAATTGACGTAGTTGTGTTTAGATAGATTAGTAGTGTGTTTAACTAGTTCCTGTGTACGCAACAAGTTCACTTTTATATTGGATTTTGTTCCTAATGAATTCTATATGATGTTGGCTATTTCCTCTTGTAAAATCATCACTACTATCATAGTAAAACACTATTACAATGGTGATTAACAATTACCATAGTGGATGACTGAACATAATGTAACGATAACTGAAATTGCTACTATAAGAAACAAACAAAGGAATGAAATAACAATAAGCCTACCACATAAACAACATCAATGATTATTGCAAAACACTACTATTGGTTGTGAACACTACTATTGTCATAAAAACACTACTATGCTACTGTACTGTATCATCAAAATCAGTAACACTACTACTATATAATCACTCTATTAATTCTTTATTATTCAAGAGAGAGAGGGACGTGATAAAGGGAGAGAAAGAGTAAATTTAAATTCTGTTTTTATTTTGAAAAATGTGTATTAATTAGTATTTCCCAAGAATAGCAACCTTCCCCGAGGAATCCTGTTAAATCCGCATTTCCAATATTTTCGATAAATCATCATTTATTTTATATTTAAATTTTCCCTCTAATTTTCATACTATATCCTTGCTTTAATTGTAGCCATTAGATCTAAAATAGAAGTGAACGGTTTAGATACTAGTTAAGGAGTTAGCACCCTATCTTTTCTGTAAGAAGGTTGTGGACGAACTTTTTTGTTACTTCTAGATTCCAGATTACAAGGAAATGGGCCAAGCCTAGGGGTATTCTTTCGGAGGTTAAGGTAACCGCTGCCCGGGCTTTATGTAATTTGCTTTTGCCAGCGAATGATACAGCAGTTCCTACACCCGATGAGAGGCCCAACAAAACAAAATGCAACAACATTTTTTTTCCTTCGAAAACAAGACCATTTTTATCGGAACCCATTTTTTCACTCAATGGACAAATTATCGCGTTCATACTAATTCCTATCCAGAAAGAGCTATCCTCTCGCCACCAGCCGTATTCTCCATTGCGTCGACCTTAAACTCCGGTTTGTGAAGTCGTTTTCTCCTCTCGTCGGCTGTATTCTTAGATCCTACTCGGCTACACCTCTAATCGATCATGGATCGCTTCCGCATTCCATCGATTTCTTTTGGTACTTTCTGAACTTGATCTCGAGCCTTATTTAGTTCCGGTTTCCAAAATCTGGTTTGTGCATGTAGATTGCTCGAAACGCAATTTGTGAATCAGCGACGAGATTTGGCTTTCGTTCCGCTTGCGTGCATGGAAGCCTCTGGTGTCCTTTCTATCTGATAGAATCAAACCCTATCTCCAGTAGGGTTTCAGAAGCAACATTTCGTCTTTAACTTATTGCTGCTTCTACAATTTTTCTATCTTGTTTTAGTCGATTGTTTACTCCGCCCCCTCTATTTTCTTGCTGCTGCTGTATTTTTCCCCAATTAGTACTAATTTGGTCCGATTTTCTTTTTTATTTATTAAAATGGTCCGATTTGCTTTGGTTACAGACTAACAACAGAAGTGGTGGTTTTTTTAACTTGTACAATGATTGCTTGTGGAGATTGAATGATTGGTTATATATGTCAATTACAAATAGAATCAAGCTAATGGGTTGTGGATGTTGGTAGAATTTGGGTTAGTGTGAGGAGCAAGTTTAGTTTTTAACTTGTTCTTTTGATTTCTAAGATTTGGAGCAAGGACTCATGATTCCAAATTTCCCTTTCTGCAGTTCCATTTTGAGCAAAGTAAAGTCACATCTTGAGGTACTATGCTTTTTTATTGTACTCTACTTAATCCATGAATATTACTTTGTTCAAGTAACATAAGAAATTTCTAGCATAAAACCTATAGTTTCATTTGATTGATTTATGACCGTACTGATCCCTGACTTTGATTTCAGAATCTCTTAGGTCTATCACTGCTTTATAGTTTCAATTCTTTGATTAGCTGCTAAATTAATTTATGTTTTGAGTACCACCAGCTAGCAAAGTGTGAAAACTGTGATTTGGCTACATATACCCTTGCTAAGTTCACTCTGATATTGGTAAAAGAGATAGGTACCTGGTAGTTTCCTTACCATCACTTTCCTTTTTCGAGAGCTCTTAAGCATTTTTGTATGTCAGATGGCAGGGAGCAGCAGTGAAATTACATAGGAAGTTTCAGGGAAAACTGAGGAAGAGACGAACAATAATGTAGAAGAGAAAAACAAAGTGTTTTTGGCTGGTGCAACTGGAAGTACTGGGAAGAGAATTTTCCAGCAGCTGCCATCCAAAGGTTCCACCTATTAAAAGCTGGAGTTATGGATGTTGACAAGGCCCAGACAAAGCCTTTCCAAGTACAACCCATCTCTTCAACTTGTATGTTATTCAATCCTCCACTTATCAACATGTAAACTTTAAGCTTTGGTTTTCCTTTACACAGTTGAATTAGAAGTTTAGCAGCATCTTAATAAACAGTTCTTTCTCTATCAGGCTCATGTATTCTCAGGCCACGATAAATGTGCAGCCTTTCTTACTACCATATGAAGTATCCTGCTAAGGTGGCTTACAACGGTTTGCACTATGACTTGCCTACTTGGTCCATCAACATCCTTCCTGATTGCAGACATGTAGCTTTCAACTTTGCCATGGTGAGTAACCTTCTTAACAAGCTTTCTCTGCAATCAAGGTACTTAAACTGTAGATAGAATCAAAACACAAGGGAATTGGAGAATCATAAGTTGTGTGTCCCCAATGATGTTTCATGTTTATCTATCTCAAGAATCATATTTTCTTGGCTGTGAAAAAGATAATCAGCTCATTAAGCTGTTAATGTGTAGGTTGGAGTTATGACATCAAATGTCCAAATGTTGCCAACCGGTACTAGATTGATGTGGTGGGAGACTTACAAGGAAGATATGAATTCTCATGTAGATAGCTCGAGGATGATGACTCGTGGGCTCTTGGAGCATATTAATGTCACTGGAGATACTAGTCACTATCTGTGGTACATGACCAAGTGAGTTGTGGTTTGCTATAATAGTCTTAAGAGAATTTTGAATGTTCTTTCTTGTTGAGTATCTTCTTTACTTTCCAGCGTCCACATCGGACCATGAGAATTGTTTCTCCACGGTGGACCTAAGCCAAGCCTCAATGTGCAATCAGCAGGACATGCCCTCCATGTTTTCTTCAATGTACACTATTTCGGTAAGGTAATGTAGTTTGAACTTTGTTATGGCCATGGTAGTTATGTTTTGATTCAAATTCTATGCTTTACGATTCCAACTGGGTGCTTTTAGGGCTCATAATTTGGTTTTTGATTCTGTAATCCACGTATTTCAATCAGGTTAGTGCTGCTAATTGCATTTAAAAAAAATGCAATAAGTTGAGATGATTTTTAGTAACATTTAGTGCCTTAAAGTACATGATGAAATGGATGACAAGGGGAAGCATATAATTAATTGGCAGTGTCTGAGAGAACACTCAAGCAAATGTGCGCTTGTTCCAATCCAGTATAATGACGCTACTAAGCTTGTGAAAAAGTGTTATTGATTTATGTTATCATTCTTGAATATGGTTTTGGGATGCACCATTCTCATTCGTCTTAGTATATTTTTCCCCGGTATATCATTCTGAAAGCTAGGTTTGAGCACTAAATTGCACCAACTAAAAAAATATATTGTTTCTTCATTAATCACATGCAGTTAATGAGGCCCGAGGCTTGATTATATGTATGAAATATAGAGTAGTGTAATCATTTATGTGTAGCATTGTCCTATGTTGAAGCAGTTATCTTCAATTTCTAGATCCACAATTTTGAGATCAAGACTTTGTTTCGTCAGCTAGTACAGTTACGAGAATTGAATTTGTTTTGCTTGGCTTTAAAACAGGTTAAGATGACACAGTACATGGTATGGGTGATTCAGAAGAAAGCAAGGGCTCTATATTATGGATCTTGCTGGAACTTTTATCTTTAACTTCAATCATTTTCTTGCAAAATTGTTGGTTGTTGAGTTTCAAACAAGTACGATCATTTGTAATGTCGAATGCGACTTAATTGGTGTGGTTTTGTGGTATGGATATTAATGGTTAATGTCAATTTTGAAATTTGATGTGATAATAAATATTTCGTAGCAGGTATTTGTGCAAAATTAGAATCCACTTCTGAATGTTTTAGTGACAGCGTTATGTGGACCGTCGCTAAATTTCGTCTTTACCGACTGCTGGTGGCTCTTACCCGTCAATAAGGGAACTAGATTAGGGCCCGGCCTCTTGGCCGGGAGAGTTTGATTTTCATGTGTATGTTTGATTTTCATGTGTATGTGTATGATTTTCATGTGTATGTTTGATTTTCATGTGTATGTGTAGTAAACATTGAGGATTGAAGTAACCATAAAGGAAAGTATTTAATGTATTTGACTAATGAAGTCTAAAAAATGACAAACAACTCTCAACTACACTAACATAAATTCATATTTCAAACAAAGTCATATCTATATAAATATGTCTAAGAAGAACAATGACACTAACATAAATTCATATTTCAAACAAAGTCATATCTATATAAAAATGTCTAAGAAGAACAATGATAAGAGTTGTTTTACATCACACGTACATAATCAATCTTCAGTATACGATAAATTTTTTTGCCTTTTCCATTGACTTTCGTGTATTCAATGATATTAATGAAACAAACCATATGTTTAGAGTGTACTTAAAAAGAAACAAACTAACTCACACAGTCATGGTTCCATTGACTTTAGTGTATTCAATTATATAATGAAACAAAGCATGCAGATCTCCAACTGCAAGTTCAACTAATAGAGCAACACATAAAAAGCTAAATCAAAGCGAAAAGAAGGCAAAAACTAAAAGCAGCATACCTAACATTTTGAGGGAAATCCACAACAATAAAAGTCATTGTATGAACACTTGATAATGATTTGAACACTTGTGATATATGAGCAGTGAAAGTTCATAAAAGTCATTGTAGCTCTTACTCAAGTTAGAAAGACTCTAATTTAATGGTAAGTAAACAATGATATGTAGTGCTTAAGAGGGAAGATGAGACCTTACATTGTTTATTAATATGCATCTTAGTTTCATAAATTTTACATCATTAAAAATTTATTTGCTGAACAGAAACTCATCCAAGTTTGGAGCCATTGTAAAATGTAAGTTATGAGGCAAATGAAAAGTCAAGGTTTTCAACCCGCGGGTTGACCCGGACCCGGTGAATCTAGTGGGTCAAGGGTTAATGGGTCACCCGATTTAGCCCGGTTTAGCCTGAAAATATGGAAAGAGTCATTATATTATACTTATCCTGATAAATTATATCAAATCTCATCTAACATATGAGTTATAACATATAATATTATACTAAAATAACATGCCGTACTTAGATCCAACATATAGTGAAAATTCACACACAATTATATAACAACAATATTCAAATGTTCAACTTAGGATTCCAAAGATTGAGTTAGGCGAAAAGAAAATCGGAAAATAGGAGCATTTCGCAAACCAAAGAAAAAAATGACACAATTTGACCTCTAACCCGATACCTTGTAGCGGTCGACTCGGCGGGTGCGTGCAGCCCGTTTTTCTCACCGGGTCAGGGTCAAAGTGGGTCGACCCGCGGGTTGACAACCTACTCTCAAGCATCCACATGCTTGAAAAATAAATCTATATTATCAAACATAAAATCATATCTTGCATCAGAAAAAGAAGAAAAAAAAGTAGTAATTCGATAATCAATATAGGAATCAATATGGACACAATATCTAACCAAGAGAAGAGGAAGCGAAAAAACACAAATTGCTGTGTATAGATTCCGCTCACGATATTTCAAAGTGAAAAATATCATAAAAATTATTAACCAATAAAAGGGAACGGTTAAGGGGAAAATGCATCAATTTGAACCTAAAATGAGAGGAATTAATATCCTACACCATCATATATAATGATATATTATATCCCAGAACATCATTAACAAATCTATCTAAATGAAAAAGTATACTAAATTGAATACAATGTAAAAGTAACGATGAAGATAGATATTATATCCACCTAAGGAATAATAAAGTAAACCATGTTTCTTAGAGACCTCTCTCGACAGACAATTGCATCATATAGAGTTTTAACTTAAATTTGAAGTGCTTATAATTAGCTATTTCACCTCATGAATAAATAAATTATATCATTTGGTAAAAGAAAATAATTTATAAACTTGAGAGTTATTTCGTTTGTTGTTAAATCATTTGAACTAAAGTATGAAATTGCTTCAGAACCGTTATTTTATTCATTATTATTTAAATTGTTATTTTTATTATAATGTCTAAGCATGTCTAGGCGAGCTAAGAGATAGACAAATGCCCAATGACCGTCGTACGCCTAACGTGCTGCTGAACCTCAATAATTATAGCAAACTTTGTGTGCATCTTATAAATTTGATCACTTCTGTTTTGGTAGAATTGATTACATCAATAAAGCGATCAATCAAAGAGTCTTTCTTTAAGATTTTGATAAGATGTTCCCTACTGCACAATTAGTATGACTAAATTGTACAAAGATAATCATGTATTGAATTTTGAATCGATAGCGCAAAAGATTGTACTAACTCAAGTAGAGTTTTAGCTACTCAGTACTTCATATTCGCATGTAGATAGCTATTTCGAAGAGTTCGAATATTGATTGAGTTTGTTGAACTTTACCTAACGAAACTATGATATCAAGCGCAATATATTATGCTTTTAGGAGAAATTGGGAGAATATGTTGGTGACATCAAACCTAACATGGATACCATTGAATTTAAGTGATAAGCAACATTTATGTTTAATAGATTAGACATGAAAAATATATATAGCATTATCATAAGTTGGTATGAAGAAGTGAATAATTAGGAATTGAAAGCTAGAAACAAAGTTGATTTAATAAATAACTGCAAATGATATTGTGAAAAAGAAAACAAATGCTTAGAGTATAGCTAGGCATGAGAGTGTTACATTAAACTCTCTAAGAGAAAGAAAATAACCATTAATAGTTAGTTATGGATATTGAAATAGTTAATTATGATGAATACTATATACTGGTGTTAATACTTGGACCTTAGCTTGGACATTGCATCATGCTGATAAGAATTATTTCATTAATTACATTATTGAAATAAGGGGTCGTATGGAAGTTTTGATTGTTTTGTTTAGATTCTTAAAATAAATACATTTTCGTAATACAATACATATGTTTTTATTTTTGTTCATACACAATCGTAAATTATTTTCTTGATTTGAACAAACTATCATTCAAATTGAATGATTAAACAATTTAGAATTTTAGCATAAACTGTCGAGATAATTGGTATCGGTGTTTGTCATTTTTATTTATCTTGAAATGTATGGTACCAGTGTCCTTATATCGTCATTGAACACTTCATTCAACACTTCAATTCAATGCGCAATATTCCAACCAATGATATTTGTGTTGAGATTTTAAGATTATCCTTCATATAAGTTAGAAAAATAATATATTAATTATTAAAATATGAAAATATAAGTATCAAATTCCACAAAATACTTACAGGAGACTTAGCGGGCTAACTAACTGTGATAGAAAAGTACTTTGTTTTTCATAATTTTAACTTCCTCTATGTTTTGTATTAACAAAGTACAACAAATGTGTCTAGTCTAATTGATTACAATTCTTGTCTTTGGTGGAAGGGACCATGGTTCAAATCCTAGCATTGATATCTTTTTATATGAAATAAAAAATGATTGTGTAGACGAAAATACCCTTCCTACTTTCACTCTCGTTGCAGGAAATTTGAAATGGAGCAAATCAAACTCGTTAAAATGTACTAGATTGGTGTCCGACCCATTGGTCGGAATGTCATTTAAATATAATGTATTCATGATGTGTATATGAAATTGTCAAATTATTTGAAATGTTAAATTTCGTATGACATTAAGGTGTCAGAGAAATTATTTTTCTATTTTTGAAAGTCATATACCTTTTCATCAA